CAGGAGGCCCTCCCACCCCCCTTTGGAGGGCACAAAATCTTCACCACCAGTCCCTCCCCACCCCTGTGCTGGGATCCTCAGTCACATTTCTCCAACCCTCTACAGTGCTCATCATGTGATGGATTGGAGCAGGTTCAGCAGAAACCATTTTTATGGAAACAATTATAACTAATATTAACTGAGGTTTATATGCACCAAGTATTGTACTAACCAATTTATAGGTTTGAATGCATTCAATTCTCTCAACACCCTAGGAGAAAGGTACTATTATTAGTTAGCCCTATTTTACTGATGAGAAAACTGGGGCTTAGAGAAATTAAGCCCCTGCCCAAGGTCATGGAGTTGCTAAATCAAACACAAGACGTTAACTACCATACCATACTGTCTTCCCAACTACCTAGCAAACTTGGCCACAGTATCAGGGAAACAGGGTGACCAGGGCCAAGAATTCTGGCCATCTGGTTAGGTTATCCAACCCAGTGTTTGTATGACCTCCTCTGGGGCGGATAGTGACATGGATGACCTCCAGGTATTGTCTACTCCGCCTTAGGAAGAATGATTTCACAGACTTCCTTGGTAACCTGGTTCATGGCCTAATCATTAATCTAAACTCTTATTTTAGCGGAATGTTATCAGTGCACCATTGAGTGCTCTATTCTGTATAACAAGACACGAAAGAGAATTGCTGCAATATCGCGCTTCCCAGACTTGAAGACAATTAAAAAATAATTCCTATAGTCTTCTCTTCTCCAAATCAACACTTTAAATGTTCCCCCAGACTTCCACTGCCCATCCCCCTTTTAAATCACTTCAGTTGCTCTTGCTATAAATGAAGTTGGGTAGGAATTCTAACATCTTCACTCCATCATCATTTCTATATCACAAAGGCTGCAGAAGGGATGAGGGGAACCACAATTCTGAGCTTGCTCCCTCTGTGACAGCCACAGCAAGACAGGCTCTGGCCCCCAGCAGGGCTGCCTGCATTTTCAGCCAGGTTTGAACTCCAAATGGGCCCCTAAGGCAGCAGTACAGTAAGACACTGTCATGATAGGGAACTGATGACAACGAGACAGGTCTGTGCAAAGGGGATGCAGGAAGGGCAGGCTAGATGCATCCACTCAGATCTGGATCTGCAGTCAGGCCTGGGCTTAAGCCTCGGGAAGGGGCCAGCCTGGCTGAGCTGGGGAGATTTTTCCCGTTGCTTTTCAGGTTGTCCATTCTTGGTTCCTCAGCAAAAGCGGGGTTTTCTTTTGAAGCACATTAATTTTTTCCCCAAAGGTCACCTGAAAAGCCTATCTTGAATAGGCCAGATCATGAGTCTGACATGCCACAATTATCAGCAAAAGTTGTTTCTGGAAACCTAAATTCAAATCACTAGCCAGAAAGGAGCTGCCCTTTGATCCAAAGTACAAGAACAGTAATAAATCCTCTTTTATCACCTGGCCAACAGGGCTTCTCTTTCCTTTGGTTTGTGACTGCCTTTTAGATAGCTGGCTGCCAATAAAAACTCCCCCTTCCCCTTCGGAAAGGCACATTTTCAGTGCATGTGTACACCTGAGGCATGTGGAAAACACCATTCTCTGGGCCCAGAGGCAGGTGGGAATTTTGCAGGCAGCTCTGCACTAGTCAGGTCAGCCTTAGAGGTACAAGGCCCCTCCACAGGGGAAACTAGCCCTGAGGTGCCCTGGGACTAGAATTTGCTTTTTGTATAGTAAAGAGATAAGAACACAGGATGCGAGGCTCATGACCAGAAAGGGACAGCATGAAAAAGTAGGCACAAGAGCCCACAGTCCTCTTTCAAGCACTGGCTAACAGAGGAGGGATATTCTTACACCTGTCCTACCCCCACCCCCATCCTGTTCCCAGAAACTTGAACCTTAAGCTTCTGGGTAGGAAGTAAAGATGGTCCACATTTCCCAAAGATACGGGGTCAGAGACAGGGATAAAGACAGCAGAAACGAGATAACCAAAGAAACAGGTCCAAGAAGAAATCTTCTCAACTCTGGTACTTACTAAGTAGCAGAAGGAAACTGTATACTGGGGCCAAAAAAAAAAAAAAAAAGAGGCTTGACTTTGTGCCTCCCAGCTGGGAAACATACTGAAATAAAGTTTTGGGCACCAAAGCTCCCTGACAACCCAGAGCTGAGCCCTCGGCCGCACTGCGGGACCCACCTTGTGTGCAGTTTCTGCAAACTGCTGGGCGCTGTTCTTCATGTCTTCCGTCTTCTCCTCTGCGCGGCCTAAGCGCTCCCCGCGCTCGTTCAAGGCCTGGCTCGCTTTCTGCACTGCACTGGTCACGCTGTCGGCTGCCGAATGGAGGATGCTGTTTCCTGAAAGGGGACAGGAAAGCATCAGAAGCTGGCTCGGCTTACCTACAGTGACACCCCCCACCCAGGGTGAGCACCCCAAAAAAGCAAGGTGGGTCAGACTCTGGAAAGGCCTTGAGTGTCTAGGAAACAAGTCAACTTTTCTTCTGACTTGGTCTGACTGACTCACTTTTAGGAAGAATACCCACTGACTGTAGGACCTGGGCAAGTGCTGAAGGCTTCTTTCGCAGCCCCATCACTGACAGCACTCATTTCAATTCTACCGGCATTCTGTTTGGTGAGGCTCAGAAGAGCGGGGTCCATCTGAATTTAGGACTTGGCTTGCAAAGGTAGATGGGAACCCTAACAAGTCCATAGAATTAGGCAAGTTTAGTGAGACATATCTGGATCATATGAGCATTTCCTCTTGACCTGGGGTTAAGATGGATAACCACAGGAAAATTGGGAGTACAGAACTTCTCCAGATATGATGCTCTGTATTCCTTTCAACTGTTCCCTTCCATTTTACCCCTTCACCCCTATATGCATAGCCCCACGTAAGAAGCTATCGATCAGTCTCAAAGTTCAGAGGAGATATGTCAGTTCTCAACCTTGAATCCCGAGCCATGGCATGGTTGGTTGGTCCTCTTTGCCTCTGATCTCAAGTATATGAAATATGGGGCCTCAGCACTGTACTTAACCAGCAGGTAAAAAACAGTGACAGAAACCTGTCCTAGAAGGAACTTGGCACTCCCAGATTCATGAATGATGATACTGAGAAAGTTGAAAACCATCACATTTCAAATGGTTATGCATCCCTGACATCCCATGTACCAGGACTGGAAAAGAGAATTCAACAGTGATGAACTGGCAGATGCATAACCCATGGAGACCTAGAAATTTGCCAAATTACAACCAAAGGAGATTTATAGCTGTATTTTGTTAATGCTGAGTGCAAGATAGTTAAATGGCATTTTATATAATAGCTTTATGTCTTTGAATAAGTTTTTATTACATCATTTACCTTTGTACCTGGGATGGATACACCTAGCCACAGACAGCTTTTTATAGAAACGTAATTTCCACTGGTCTCAGCTGCAAAGGCTTCCTCATTTCTCCTCTGTGGGAACAGTCTGTGGTTTGTGGAAAAGGATCTCAGCCAAAGAAAGTGCCTGCCCCAGCGGAAGCACTTTGTAAATTGTTTTCTACTTTTCTTCTTTAGGGGTGGATTTCAAGGGCTTCCACTCTGCACTAACGGGAGGAGAATGGAGTTAGCTTACTATTACTCAGCTGCATCAACCACTACTGCAGCCAAGATAAGTCAGCACAGATTAACAGAGGAGATGTGGCTCTGGAGAAACTGGCTGAATGCAAGGGTTGGAATGGAAGGTCTGTCTCGGTCTTCAGAACAGATTTAGGAGGAGAAATCTGGGTTCCCATTTGCTTTCATATCATGGTTATGATTATAGCCTATCACCACTGCTTAATATTTGAATAGCATTTTGCAATCATAAAGCATCTTTACAGATATTGTCTCATTTGATTGTCACAGAAATTCTACTGAGAAGACTGAGACTAGGTGAGGTTCAGGGCTTCCACAAGATCATGTCACTAGGGAAGTGACGTAGCTAGCACTGGAACCTGGTTTCCCAATGCCTTTTCCTTATTCTGTACCTTCCTCTCTGCAGGTGTGGCGTTGGTCATGGAAAGCAATCACTATGACAGAATTGTGAGAACACCAGCATAGATAGGTTTTGACAGGTTATTTCCCAAGGTAATGCCTGACTGTTTCTGTCCTAAAGAAACCTATTCCTCTTGGTAAATGAAGAGTTATTGCCTAAGCTGCATTGCAAGCCAGGTGCTCCCAAGAAGGAACAGGCCAATGGGAAAGAATAAGACAGTGAAGGGACTGAAGGTGCAGAGGAGTTGGGGGAGGGCACAAGAAAATCTCCCCTTCCTGCTTCCTTCCACATGCCCACAGCTTAGCCGCCAGAGGCTAGAGGAAAGATGGGGCAGGCTACCTGCAACTCCACAGCCAGGAACAGCTGCATTAAACCAAAGGGATTTTATAATTAGTTATCATAAAATCAAGAGGGTATATAACCAGGATAGGTTTTCTCCCCATCGGAACTGACCCTCATGGTGCCTTCAAAGTGAGACACATCTGTGTTTCTAGAATGAATCTGCTTTGTGTGAGCCATACTGTTTTCCTGTCATGACTTTCTTAATCTTGTACAGACGTCAGATCAACACTGCACCCAGTTTTATATGATACTGTTTAACCAAGAGTTGTTATAACTAAAAGAGAACCAAATGCTGTCCTCATTATTCAGTGATGACACTGCTGACCACTATCAATAAAAAATCCACCTTCAGTTATTTTCAGCCATGAGCATGGATTTGAACAAATCTCATCACCTCGGTTGAAATGTCCTCCCCTGGTTTCAATTCTACCTGTATTTCAGGCTCAGTGAAGTCCCATCACCTTTATCAAGGTTCAGGTCAATTACATTCTCTTCTCAACTTTGTAAGAACTGTCTATATCCTTCTTGGGTGACTGATCACGTACAGTCATGGGCAACTCTTCTACCTCATTTCTTCACCCATAGATGCGATGACTTCCCAGCTGGATTATATATTCCCTGAGGGCACCTTTCACTCTGCTGACCATTCCCTAAATCCTGAATCTTCCTCCTCTAGATTCGGGTCTCCCGCTTGCTTGCTCTATTCTCTCTGATATCTTGCAAATGCTGTAATTCCAGTGTTCTGTCCTTGGCCCTCTTCTCTTTCTCATTCTGCAGACTCTCCCTAGGACAATTCTACTCAGCTCATGGCTTCAGTGACCAAATTTTTGCTTTTTTCTAGGTTGTGCTGCTGAGGCTCCAGACCCATGTTTTCTTACTGGGCAACTTCAGGTGAGTCACCGAAAGTCATCTTGCATTCGGTATGTCTACACCTGACCCCATTATCACACCTGCTTTTTCTTTGGGGTCCCCTGCTCAGTCAGTAACTCCCCTATCTTCCCAGCTTGCTCCTCAATTCAGAAATCTGGGAGCCCAGTCCAGATTCCTCCCTCACTTTTACCACATACGACTACAAGTCACCTGCTGTCCAGCTCTCTACTCTCCGCCCTCTTTGCCAGCTTCATTATCTCTCTATGGATCCAGTCCCTCTTGCCTTCAGAGATACAGCAATAGCCTTTTGTTGTTAGGTGTCCCCACACCTTTTCTGGTTCATCTTCCACACATTTCTATAGTACACTTCTAAAAAGGCAAATTTGTTACCATCTTCTCACTGCTTCCAAGAAAAAATTGAGAACTTTGCCCTGCCTCACTCTCAGCTTATCTTAGAACCTCATCCATTTTTCCTCTCCCTAGCGATCTCCAATCCCACGCCTTGCCAGATTACCTAAATTTTCGCAGATGTGTCATGTTTCTTTTACCTGTATGCTTTTGTGCTTACTGCTACCTCTTTGTGAACTCTGAGTCTCATCTTAGCCTTCCCACTTACTCCTATGTGCTTCAGTACACTTCAGACCCCTTTCCTAGGAAAGACCGTCATGTCTAGCCCACCCTAAACCATTGTTGCCCCCAACATACACAGTATCTTGTGTCTATTTCAAATGGTGCATTTATCATAATGCATATGTAATTGCTGGGTATCTAGTGTGAGCTCCTTGAAGGCAAGGGGCTGGGCCTTTCTCACTTTTGTATTTGCAATCCCTGGCACATAGGAGAGACTCAATAAATGTTGGTTGGCTTAGAGGCAGGAAAAATGTATCATCCTTCTAATGATTTCTCCATGGCTTAGCGGAGGGTTGGACACATGACTGATGCTGTTACATGATCTAACTAGATCTTCAGATTCTAAACTTGCCAAATGACTAAGGGTTTAATCTGTGTGTAATGAAGCCAGCTATCTCACCTAGAGATTGTGCCAGGAATTCAATGAATTAAGTCAACAAAATGCAAAAAGGGGAATGCTTTTGCTATAGTGAAAGAGAAAGTTGGTAAAAAAAATCTGTTGTTACCAGCCTTAAAATAAACAACTACAAGGTATAAAAATAACAGAAGTTAAATAGCTTTTAAATCCAATGCAAGAATAGCAGTTGCCTGACCACTTACTAGGCACTTACTAAAATCTGCTCCTCACAACAGCCTTATTCAATGGCACATCACTGGTCCCATTTTTACCAATGGGAGCACCAACGGAGAGAGAGAGGGTTAGCAGTGCACCAAGGATCCCACAGTAAGTGAAGAGCAGAGCTAGGTTTTGAACTCAGGAAGCCCAGCTCCAGAGCCAGTTCTCTTACTCACTGTTAATATTGGCTCTCCATGGGAATTTTCTTGTATTTGAGATTAATACAGTCTGCATTAACTGTATGGAATGAAGACTTCAGTGTAGCAGTTCCTAAAGCATTTCTTAAAGCCATAATACAAAAGAAAACATCTTGTCATTATTACAAGCTAAAACAACTTACTATAGAAAATTTAGAATACATATTACTATAAAAAGGCAATAAAATCGTGTAGTATTCAACTGCTTAGAGATAACCACATTTACATTTATGGTACATTTTATTCTAGTAATTTTTCTGTCTATGTTTTTCTAAAACATGGTTGCGGCCATACTGTATATATTTAGTACTGTATCCTATTGTGGGTACTTTCCCATGCCATGGAAAATTCTTTGAAAATACTGTTTATAATGACTACATAACACTGTTGTAATTTATTCAATTATTTCCCTTTTCATTATTGGGTGCGTGTCCAAAAGTGTCCATCCTTCCTTCCTTCCTTCCGTGCACACCATTATATTTCAACTTCTGTATACACTGCAGTATGCTCACCACCAAAAGCTTAGTTTCCATCTGTCACCATACAGTTGACCCCCTTTTTATCTATTTCATCCTCCTCCGACCCCCTTCCTCTCTGGTAACCACTACTCTGTTCTTTGTATCTATGTATCTGTTTTCCTTTTGTTTGGCTTGTTCATTTTTTTAAAAATTAATTTTAACTTAAAAA